TATCCCTTCATTCTAGGTGGGCACTGGTAAAGAACAATTCCGTGAGCTTAACATAGATTCCAGTTCTGAATTTGTTTTCAGTATTTGTGTTTTATTATTATAACACAAGCACCAAGGTACACAGCAGTTCTCTGGACAGACCTGTGACAGAAACCTCGTGAGAATTCTGACAAAGAGATGCCTTTTCCCATCGTCTTTGTCTATGAGCAAATACTATATGTACTGCAGTGGCTTCTGTCCCTGACTTTTACTTTCTCAGGGTTGGGTCCTTTTTCATATAGATATTCTCCTTGGAAATTAAAAGAAAAAAAAAATTGTTTTAGTAAAATAAAATTTTAAATTACCATGTTTAAGTGTTCAATTCATTGACAATAATTACATTTGCCATGTTATACAGCCATTGCCATTATTTTTAGAAGTTTTTCATGATCCCAAACAAGCTTATTTTCCTTCTCCCTCTTTATCAGCCCTTTGTTGTTATTAAGTTCAGGCAAGTTGGTTCCAACTCGTAGTGCCCCTGTATATAATTTCCAAGGACCCACTCGTGGGTTTGAGCCACCGACCATGTAGTTAGCAGACCGGTGCTTCTCCTATATTGCCACACCAGGAATCCTCAGCGCTTGGTAACTTTTGTCTCTGTGTATTTTCCTGTTGTAGATATTTCATATTTCAAGTATCTCATATATCATTTGCCTTTTTTACCTAGTTTACTTCACTTAGCATAGTAAGTTCTGGTTCACTCACATTGTAGCATATATTGAATTTCTGGTGTGTTGTAGGGTCAGCACTGGACTGCAAACCACATGGTAAGCAGTTCAAATCCACCAGTTGCCCCTTAGAAACCCTTTACAGGTTGAGTCCAAACTGACTCAACAGCACTTAATACAACAGTGGTTTCTGGTTCATTCATAATGTAGCATATATTAGAACTTCATTTCTCTTTATGGTTGAATTTTCTATTGTATTTATTTGCCATATTTTGTTTATCCACTCATTTGTCGATGGCCACTTAAGTTGTTTCCACCTTTTGACTATTGTGAATAATGCTGAAATGAACATTGTTGTAAGTGTTGTTGAGTTGGTTCTGACTCATAGGGACCTTGTATAAGCTTTCTGAGAAGTGGATTTGAACTGCCAACCTTGCAGTTAGCAGTCCACTGCTTATCCTGTAGTGCAACACCAGAAGTATAATTAATTACTGGTTCATATGGGTTCTGGTAGCGTAGTGGTTACGAATCGGGCTGCGAACCTTAAGGTCAGCAGTTCGAAACTACCAGCCGCTCCGCGGGAGAAAGATGAGGCTTTCTACTCCCGTAAAGATTTACACCCTTGGAAACCCTGTACAGGGTCGCTATGGGTCGGAACTGATTCGACGGCACTTAACAACAACAACAACAACAACATATGGGTTCTTGGTGTGGCTCTGTAAAATAAATACTGGACTGCTAATCACAAGGTTGGCAATTCAAATCCACCAGCTGCTCCTAAGAAACCCTATGTAGGGTTTAACTTTTTGAAGAACTGCTCCACAGCAGCTGCACTGCACCACTTTACATTCCCACCAGCAGTGGCAAAAGGTTCTGGTTTGTCTGCATTCTCTTCAACATGTTATTTTTAGATTTTTCTCATAATAGCCAGCCCAGTAAGTATAAAGGAGTAGTATCTCATTGTTGTTTTGATATGCAATGTGGCGCTGTGGGTTAATGCACTAGACTGTAAAGTCAGTTTGAACTGCAAGGACAGTGGTTCAAGCTCACCAGCTGCTCCTTGGAAACCCTATACAGGGTCTCCATGTGTCAGAACCAACTTGAAGACACTTAATAACAACAAAATAGTTAATAGGGGTCTTGGTGTGGTGCTATAGGATAAACACTGGACTGCTAATGGCAAGGTCAATATTTCACACCCACCAGCCGCTCCTCCAGAAATACTATACATAGTTACAGTGAATTTGCATCCATTTATTGGCACTTAATAACAATAACAATGGTTAATGACATTGAACATTTTATCATGAGCATGTTGACCATTGTTATTTATTTGGCGAAATCCTTATTCAAATCATTTCCCTATTTAAAAACTGAGTTGTTTGTCTTTTTGTTGTTGAATTGCAGGGATTCTTTATGTATTCTGGTATATTGAGTCCTTAACAGTTTTACATATTCTCTTCCATTTTGTAGGTTGTGTCTTTACTTTGTTGATAAAGTACTTTGAGGCATAAAAGTTTTATTTTGATTAAGTATAATTTGTATGTTTTATATTGCTTATACTTTTGGTATCATATCTAAGCGTTTATTGCTGAAAACAAGATCCTGAAGCTTTACTTCTGTGGCAACTTTTTTTTTCTTCATGTTTTAAAAGTTTTAGAATCATGGTTTATTTTTCGTTATTCCCATAGTAACAGTGTGCAAGTATTATTACTCTCCATTTTTATACATGAAGGGAAGTTAAGTAACTCACTTTGTGTGTGTGTGTGTGTGTGTGTGTGTGTG